TTTTAAATCAATATGTGGCCGTCAATATTGATATCATGGCGGGCCGCCACGAGTAAACAAATGCATGGAAAACACTGATCTGGCACCATCGGGGCTGCTTTTCAAATATTGTCGGACACCCCCGCAAATAAATCCGTAGTTGCCGGTTGTTGGACTGACGATGTCTGGTTGGAACAATTTGTATTAGTACAGTGTTCCAGGATAAAATATTCCTAATAATGGCAAAAATAAGAGGAGAAGCAGAGGGACGTTTGATTTATTGGAGGCAGACAGGACAAAGAGAGATGCAGCGAGAGTTTAAGTCAGCTACAGAGTCAACACACGCAGAGGTAAACTGTAGAGAGGGTAGACGAGTAGGCAGGGCTGCATGTAGTAGCATGGGGATGAGCCATATTGCGTGGCCTTATATAAGAACAGCGAATTGACCGCTCCGTGTGCTCCATCAGCACTGTCCTTAACCCTACTTAAACCTCATAAGCACACAGATACATTACAGCACACACACACACACTTTGATGCACGTATCATCAAAGCTGATACACACAAACGCATCCAAACACAATGAGTGAGTGGGTGTAACGGTGAGTCACTCGGTGGCATAGACGACTCTCCCCACTTGTGTTTACACTGGGCTTGTCCTGCCGCACATGAGAGAAAATGGAGAAAGAGAGAGAGAGGGAAAAAAAAAAGCGAGTGGGGGGGGACAGAGAGAAGAAAAAGCTGACTCCAACTCCCAAGCTCAAAATAACTCACATCTGAAGATACACCACAGCAGTAACACCGAGGGGGGGGAGTGCAACCGAAATGAGAGGAGGGAGCAAGTGAGGAAATATGTTTCCACCATTGGTTCACTTATCTGTCAGTCTGAGCACAATTAGTATAGTCATGAGAGGGGAGGCGGGTGGTGGGAGATGTGGCGTTAGGAGTCTTAAGGAACCAGAGGAGATGGAAGGAGGAGAGGGGCTTGGCAGGAACTGTCACAGCTCATCAGTGCATGGGTACATCTGGCCTCCATACTCCCTAACAGTACACACACACACACCCCGACACACCCTCACACAAACACAAACAGCCTCGCTTGCAGAATACCCGGTCAAACTGTGCACATTCACATCCAGACAGATAATGACAACTGGCACAAGAAAATCCCTACAGACCTCTAGTGAATGCAACACACACACACATGCGCGCACAACACCGAATTTCCGAGTCTGCTTCCTCGGAGGTTCACAAACAGGCGACGGCGATAACATGCGCAAATCCTGAGTGTCTCTATACACAAACGCCGCACATGTCTGTAGAACCCATGTTTGTGCACACTCTGACGCCAATTTCCAAGATGTTTCCTGACACAGGCTAATGGAGCTTAACCAAGCGTGCCTCTATGTGTGCATGTGTGTGGAAAGCTGTGCTTCAAACCGTGACGATGTCTTTGTGTCCGTCTGCTGCACTGTAAGCAAGAAGCCAGCTCACTCGTGACAATGTTAGCCAACATGATGTCAGCGTGTGTCGAGCTTCTGGCTGAGAGACACCTGCTGTGAACTCCCCTTCTCTTCACCTAAAGCTAAGAATCACCCATTCTGTTTACACCCTCACAAGCTTGAAAAATCCTTCTTGGAACTTTAAGCCGTTGCTGCCAAGTGTTTCCTCTTTGCAAGCATAAGCGTGGATTTCAGGGGGGACACGGGAGACACATATTTAAAGCTCGTGCACCCCAATAAAAACATTTTAAGTTGCTATAACCTCTATACAATGGGTCAGTATGTCAAATACAGACAAGTGTGATATGTCCTGAATGTGCAGAAAGTTTTGAGCCAAAACCTGCAGTTATAAAACTCCAGGGATTCATAAATTAATTAAAGGTGAGTTAAATTATCACCGACATGAATAGGTGCTGCATGCATATTTAAAGATGTTACCAAACAAAAGACACAAAAGAGGGCAGAAGAGTAAATTATGTGTGTGTGTGTTGACTCAGGAGGGATAATATGAAATGAGAAAAGATGATCTACTGGAGAATAAATATTTGAGAGCCTGAGAGCTTTACCGCATCATGTTCCATTATATTCTGAACTGTCAGCTAGTGCGTTAATTTTGTGTTTTTCTTTGCATAAATGGAGACACTTCCATCATACATTGATGCAGAAAAGGGAACAAATTGGTGCATCTCCAGCCTCTCCAGCGTTCAGATAAAAATCTGCGCCCGTGTTTTCAAACACTTTCGCAGGCACACACCAATTTTCAGAAGTGCTGCACAATAATTTTTATTAGCTTTCAAAATCATTCAGTAATGATAGGAAAATTACAATGTCCAGAACAGCTTCCAACAACTGAAGGGGAAGTACTTCATCTGTATCAGTAAAGGTGTGTGGACAGGGCGTGAAATTGAGTTCCCCTTCACACATAAGGTAACAGGTTACTTGTCTAATTTAGTGGTCAGACACAGCTCCAGCTGGCAAATGAGACAAGACGTAATAAAAAATCTCTGCTGTGTGCATGAATATCACCAAAAACATTTATTTAAGAAAGCAGGAATTTCAGGGTGTCTCTGTCAGTTACCCGTAGTCGACTTTACAGTCAAAGGGCTCATCATAGTCTCAGCGAACCTATCCCGACTCTGCATTGCTGCCATAGCGACAACACTCAAAGCTGAGCCAACAGCATTACAGACAGGCAGGCAGCTCTTTAACTCGCAGACAGAAATAACTAGCTAACAAACAACATGCACAGCAGCAGCTCTGTGAACAACGCTTATTAAAACGCAAAACATATCGGCAGCTCATATGCAACACACCGCCTCCAAAAGGAGAATGTGCTCCAGCATTCACAAAAGGGCCCTTCAGCCTATAGGAGGCACCACGTCTGACATACATAAATCTATAACTATAAAGTGCGTGCAGTTTGGTAATGACAACAAATAGTTACTCATGTTTAATTGTGCGCTGGGTAATCTTCAAAACAATCGACATGATCTGTGATAATCAATATGGACATCGCATTATCATTACAGGATTTAGAAATATTTCATCCAGGCCAACACAAATTTCAGTCTACTAGTTCAGTGAGCCGGTACCCAAACGAGCTGCTTCTGATAAATATGGGTATTTGCACAAAAATATGACACATGGCTACACAATTAAATATGCATGAAGGGCAATAATAGCAATACAGCACTGTTCCACTGTAACACCAATACAATACACGCAAACATTCACATCTGGGCTCACTCTCCCAGGCTCTCCGTAACATACGACAGTGTAATGAAGCACAAAACACATACTGTTGAAGCATCTGGTGCAGGCAAAGACGGAGCGACAGACAGAAATAAAGTGAGGCAGTGAGAAATAGAAAACTAATGGAAAAATAATGGAGGGCATGGGGATAAAAAAGGCCGGGGAAAGAAAAAAAAAAGGGAAACTGAAATCGGTAAAAGTTAAAAGAGAGAAAAGCAGAACAGCTGGGAAAGAGTTAGGAGCAAAAGATGTGTAATGCAAGGGAGGGGAGGGGGGGGAGAAAAAGAGAAAATGGAGAGACGTTTTTTGCCCACAAGCTTGTTACGACCACAGAAAGCTAAGGAGAATAAACACACACGAAGGGCAACGGCACAGGTCAACAATCTGCACACCCGGAGGGAAAAGGACGGCAGAAAGTGACTGTGGAGAAAGAAGAGGAGGAGAGAACAGAAGGAAGGAGGGAGGCAGGGAAAGATACAAAGTGGTGTCTTAATGATGAGAGGCACTAACGATGCCAGAGGAGAGAGAGAGAGAGAGAGAGATGGGGGGATGAGGATGGGGCAGAGAATAAAAACAAAACTAGACAACAATAAAGAGGAGAAGAAAGAGTAAACTATCAAATGGAAAGGATGCCGAAAGAGAGAGACAATAAAAAACAATCACAACAGGAGGAAACAAAAGGAACGTAGCAGACATTCTGCAAGCTGACTTTTACAACTGTTGCCTAGACAGAAGCGGCACATCCCCTTTGTCTCATACCTTTCGAACAGGGAAATGTGAGACATGACTTGCTTACAACAGTAAACAATGTATTCCCTCAAAGCATAATTGTCAAACAGACTCAGACGTGTTAAGCAAAAGGAGAAAGGGTTCCATTCAAAATGTATAACACTCATACGAGGAAAAAAAATATGATTGCTGTGACATTAAAACTTTCTAATTAATGGGAGTGACATTTTCCAGCAGCTTTTTTTTTTTTTAGAAAATGCAAGCATTTTAGACGAATAAAAACCAATCCTCCCAAACATAAATACAGTGTTCAAATGCAACGCAAGTTTTGACTGTACAGTGATGAAAATAGCTTCATTTCGACTAATAAATTCCCCGATGATGAGAGTCGGAGGAGTAAGGATGTGAGTGATGGGGAGACGGTGACACCCAGCACAGTAGACTTCTGTGTCGAGGCATCTCTGTATACGTGCACTTGTTTCTCCAGACGCCGTCTATTTGGTCGATAAATATACATTTTCCTGGTGTCACTAGGTGTATGTACGTAAGAATGTATACGTGCGTTCTCACAGTGTTGAAGTGATTCTGAGGAAAGAGAGGGAGTGTGGTAGGGGAGAGGAGAGAAGGAAAAAAAAAATAAAAAATCAATCTGCTTCACTCTCTGCAGTGCTGCAACCACTGGGTGTGTGCAAGTGTTTCACTGTGTTTGCATATGGCCCAACTGCAGGGGCGCCACCAAGTGGTTGGAATTAATCCCACGGTCAATGTGGAGGGAGAGAAGACTAATGTGCAAGGAAGGAGGAGAGGGCATAAGAATTAAACAGGGAGAGACGGATAAATGTGCAGGATTTTTGCGATGGGATTTGTAAACATCTAGCTTTTGAAGTAAAGCGGAACTTTTAATTAACCGGCTGACCATGCAAAGACCACAAATCTCTCTCCCCGCACATGACTACATTCTTTCACTCACAAGCAGCCACTCGCTCTACAAAGCCTGTACATGTATACACAAGCAGAGAGACGCGGGTTTGTTTTCACCTCTCCGTCGGTCCTGGGAGGCCGGATGCTGGACAGGTGGATGGTTTTGTATTCTCCAGAGTTGAGCTTGACCACCATGGCGTCGGCGTTGACCACCTGCATCACCTGCAGGGACAGAAGGACAGAGGAGAGGGAGGTGAGGGAATGTGATAACATAAAGCACAATAAAACTATAAATACTTGAGGGTGGTGGAGAAGTGTTGGGGGCAAAACAAAAAGAAAAAAAAAAGACTGCCATTGCATTTTGTTGAGTGAGTGAGAAGATAGACTGAAAGAAAGATGGGAAGCGAAGGAGCAGGTAAAGGATAAATGGAGAGGAAGAGATCCATTCAAAGGCAGAAAGAGAGTGACAGTGCAGATTGTGTCCTGTCACGAGCGGAAGGCACTGTGAGCGAGGTAAGAAAGAGTGATCCTTGAGTGACTGAGTAAGTAAGCGAGCTAAGGCAACCCAGCAGGCCAGCAAGGTTTGGAGGACAGGGCGAGGACGTTCTGCTATCTGGGGGATTGGCAACAAGAGAGGGGAGAGAGGGAGAAGGGAGTGCAAGGGGGAAAAAAAAGCAGCTTTAAAACACAAACATCCTGTTAAAGATAGACTGGCAGAGCATTACACAGCCTCTTGCCCAACTACTAGCAGGCAGCATTTTGTTTTGGAGACCTTTACAAGTGTAGCTAAACACACAGACTAATTTATTTTTGGCATTTAAATGTTATTTCTCTCTGTACCAAAGGGAGCAGCCGCAGTTTATAGCAGGTGGAGTTCAGAAGTAAGTGCGGATATTCAAAAAGGTACAGCTGTTAAATTATAGTTCACAAGAGGGTTAGTTTAGTGCAGGACTGCAAGCAGTGTTTCCCCTCTTTGAAGAAAACTACAAAAGCTGGAAAACGAGCCCCAAATCTCAAAGAAATGTATAATAGCTGTAACTCAACCCAGTGTGGGTATATATATATGTGTGCCTTTCTATGTACCCGTGGCCTCCCAAGTAAGAAGACAGATTGGGGGTATAATGTGATTGAGGTGGAGAAGGAATCCAAGCCGAGAGCATTTAAGTAGGGCACTTGCAAGAGACTGAGAAATCAATTGCCCTACACATGTTGCCACCCACACGTGCATTAAATGGCCTCATCATCACTCAAACGGCAGCTCATATGTAGGCTGAGCTCGATTTAAAAGTCCTCAAAGTGAGCGATGCAGGTCTGAGCCGTGCATCAACCACACTGGAGCAACGTGGGTGTTTGTGTGGCCAAAAAAAAAAACCCCACCACCAAAAAAATGATAAAAACTTTTCGAGTGTATATTGCAAAAACACAAATACAGGTGTATTGGGCTCACTGGGAGATTCATTATTCTATGAAAACAAATCAGACTGCCATTGCATTTGCCACCAGAGAACAGAAATTAGACCAGCCCACATGCTAAATAGGCTGCCCACAACAGCAGCCAAAATACATCATACACTAATCACTGAGCTGAGTGGGAGAGATACAGAGACACGGGGAGCAGGAGGGAGAGAGACGGAGAAGGGGAGAGGTGTAATGAGTAAGTGCGAGGGGGAGCGTGCGTGCACGCCGAGACGTGCGCACACACACAGACCAGCCTACATGAATTCGCACTGTAACAAGGTCATTTTGTGGCCTGCCCAAGTAAATAAAGTGCAAGAGAGAGAATGTGGCAGGAGCAGAATAAAAATGGCTCAGCATTTACTGGCTAATTATCAGCCGGAGGAGGCGAGAGGAGAGAGGCGAAGGAGGACGGATCAGCGCACACACACACACGGGAAAAAAAACCAAAAAAAACGACGAGATAGAGGAACAGAAAGATGGAGCGAGCCAGAGAGACAGAGTGTAATCTCACAGCAAATATCACAGGAACAGAGACAGAGGAAAAGATGGAGAATAAAGAGAAAAATAGAGAAAAAAAAAAAAAGAAGAAGAAGGGAAAAAAAAAAGTCTTTGGAAAGTAGCTGCCATGAGGGTCGAGCAAGCAGGCAGAAAAGACAAATAGGCTGGCAGCATGACTCACTGGTCTCGTACTCGAGAGGTGGGGATCTACTGCCACCCTCTGACCAGGGAGGACATGACATCTGCAGTGGGCCAAGATCGGTTATTGTGCAAGGCAAGGATCTTGGCCACTGTCAGGGAATGTGTTGGTTGTCACTCGAATCCATTAAGTTGGTCGTAACCACAGGGCCGAGCAGGGGCTTAGCCGGGACTTACTCATTACTCATGTCAGATCGCTTCCCTCAAAAGCAACACCTATGCAGTCGGTTTCAGTCTTGCCCGCCGGTGGACATGATTTGTCACCCAAATTACATGGTTTCACATAAAATAGTGCTGTTTTCTGATGGCATGATAAACACTTCAGTGTAGCCTCGAAGCGCTGCTGAATGGAAAAAAGAAGGGAAAAAAAAGTGGCTGACGAGTGTGTAATACTTTAAGAGGACATTATCCTGGAGCAGGTAGCCAAAAATCTAGGGAGACTTTTTCACCCTATTGCCCTTCCACTTGACAGACTTTAACTAGAGCACAAACCAATTTAATCTTTCTCATTATCTTCCCCAAAAGTGCGTTTTTAATTTCGTAAAGGAGATGTCTGACCTTGAACCCAGTCTGTCTGACTTACTTTAACTTATTTTTAAAAAGAAGCCCTCGTGGCATCCTTCCCTCCCTATTAGGGCGTGCTCTTTATTAACGCCTCTTTCTGGTTGTTGATTTAATCCCTGAAATCCCACCTCTGCGCAGTAATATTACATACTTGAATATATTCCCTTCCTGGCTGAAAAATGGCTTAGATCTAACCCTACACTATTGCTTTTCTAAAATGTGAAGATCCATGTATTTCCTCACCCGATTCCCTGCATCTTCAGCACACCAGCTCACCTACAACTGTGTTACAGTGTACAACTACTCTAACCCAATGGCAAATTATAATAGTGGACGAATTCTTTGACCCAGAAACCAATTCTGAAAAATGGTAAAAAATATGGAAAGTTCCTCCCTGCGAGATAACAGGATTGGTTCCTTGGGCGGGTTACATATAAAACCCCTTCCGTCAAATCCTGTGTTTTTGAGATTATCATTTTTACGCTACAGTGTCAAGGTGGAAATGCTCGGCCATGGTGCTGACTGCTTATTTCGCTCAGATTTCTTCCAGTTTATTAAAAAAAAAACACACACAATTTGGAACTTAATGTCCTTTTTGCTGGAGGTAATCTTTAAGAATTTCATTTAAGACTATTTATCCTCAAGAAAACATATTCATATGACTACTCTGAGGCATTATCTAAGGTACAAAGTCACAAGTATGTCACAAAATACACACCAACTTTTGTTTGTAACTATTACATTCCCATGGATTTGGTTGACCTAAAAGCAACAGTTCCTGACAAGCTGGCGATGAAGGATTGGTAAAGGGGTTTACACCGTGTCACCTTTTGTCCATCACCTCGCAAGTCGATGGTTACCCGAGGGAGATAATCGGGACTTTCGGGACGTGGCCTACATCCACTTCTTTCGTCCCAGCAGGGGTGGGAGGAGAGAAGAAAGACAGTCAAAAAGGAAGATGTCTCAGCAGGATTGACTTGTGGGGATTGGACCTGCTCTGCCTCTCCACTCTATCCATCACTCCGGTAATAAGAAGTGAAAAGTAGAGTGGTCGAGGAGAGGGGAGGAGTGTAAGATGATGGGATTGATGGATAGATATGTCCTTGTGAGAGTGTGTGCATTGCAGTATTAGGTGTCGACAAATGTCACGGGGACAAGTACAGAGGGGGCAATGACAGGCCTGAGTAACCTTAGCCTGTCCAATATGTACTTAGCTTGAAAAACCAGCTGCGGGGTCAGCATGACATTTTCCATCACAACTGCCAACCACTTTTAAGGGAATGTTTTTAGAGTCACATGATCCCACTGCCATTTTCAGAGGCCTTCTTTTTTTTTTTTTTTACACCGGTGAGAACAACTTTGCAAGCTATCATGGATCGCATTGAAGTTGTTGAAAACGATTCTACTCTGAGGTGATAATGTAGGGGAGTCAGCGCGTGCTGGAAACACCGTGTCCCAGGAGTTGCCGGTGGCTTTGTCATCCCTTAAAAAAAATGACTAACAAAGCTGCAGCTCAGAGAAGAGTGCAAGCCTCCTCTGTGGCTCTTTTGGGGGAGAGCAGTTGCAGGGTAAAGAGAGGACAAAGAAGCGTCCAACAGAGATCAAATAGTGCATCAAGGTTTAACTGGGGGCATCAGCAGTGCAGTGCTGCAGAAACCGAAAAAAAAAGCAAGAACGACTGACTTTCCATGTCCTTTCATTCTATACCCCTCCACAAACTTAAAGTTTCTTCCTTAACCCTCGACCTCACACTTTTCTTACAGTCTTTGTGCCTCTTTTTCTTACACCCCCTGAGCTCACCACCAAATGTTCCCTCGCGCCCACACTGCCCACATCCAACCCTCTTTTATTGCGGGGGGTTCAGAGAGATCTGAGAGCAGCTCACACAGATAATATAAATGTTTTATCCTTTCTCGAGCCTCTTCCCTCTGACTCAGGAAAAAAATATACATACACATAGTTTCTTTTTGTGCCTTCTTTATGCGTGTGCAGTTTATCAAATTCATTCTGTAAGCAGATTGCCGAAGCAACACCTTTTACGTAACCCTCTGGCTAGCCATGAATTTTTCAGGGTCTTAAAAGTTCAGGGTCTGAAGGGAGCAAATGCACACAAAAGACAAACTTTAAAAAAGGCATTAAACTTCTTTTTTTTTTGGCATTCCTAGAAAAATATATATCAACTGAAGGGAAGGATGAGGTGCAACTCATCATCAAAATGCTCACAGAGGGGGCCCGATATAAAGCTGATGTTGTAAAGCTAGACTTGCTTTACGACATTAAAGTGACAAATATGTCACCTCGATGTGACAATGAGGTTAGGCTGCATTTCCAAAATGTATCACGGAGTCAATCTTATTCGGTTTAAACTAATATGTGCTGACAACTCAAAAGGACTGCACCCCTCCGTACTTGATATTAAGGACACTTCTTTCCTCCTGAGGCCCTGGCCAATAACCTCCAAAGCTAATATCTCTAGTTCTTGGCTTTTGGGGGCCGTTCTGTGCCGCTGCTACAGCATACGCCAGCGATTTGGTCCTAATTTGCCTGGGGATCGCTTCAAGGTTGCTGTTAAGCATTACTCGTACGTTTACTGAGGGGATTTTTTTTTTTCTTATACAGTGAGCGGCGCAAATGGGAAAATAAAAAGTGTTAGGGTGATATAATTCGATAGAAGCATCAAAGTGCCCCTGCGTTTTCTGCAACGCTGAAAGAAAATTGGAAATGCCAACATCAAATTGTGAAAGCAAGGGAAATGAGTCTTATTCAAGCTCGAAAATGCCTACAAGTCATACTGAAAGGTTTATAGCCGACACCTGTTTTTTCTCTGTAGTATTTAAAGATAAGTGAGGAGTCTGAATGGACGCTAGATGATCCACATGGGGGAAAAAATGAAGGGCTGAAAAAAATGACCAAATTAAGAGCAGGGAAGACCTTCACCAAAAGGACACAGCTTATAAAAGCCACTTTAAGACCTCACCTTGGCTACAAATTGTCTGTCCTTCTGGTCCAAGTTGGCTGTGGGTGCCACATAGTCTTTCCAGATGCGGACCTTGCGCTCTTTCGCAGATCTGGCCAAGAACAAAATCAACATTAGTCAGATATTAAGACATAAAGGGCTTAATCAAGTGACAAAAGATTGTCCATTTGGCTGGAAAACGCAACAAAAGCTCATTAAAGTGAGAAAATTCCAACACAATTAGCCTACAGTGGCTGTAGCACTACTGTAGAAAATGGGTACGATTGCAGCAGCATAGAGTGAGGTTGTTCATCTCAAGTGATGTTGGCTTAGATCTGTATACCGATACATATTTCATTTGCACATTTATTTTCAGTACCTCAAGTGCCTGCATGTACTTTCTTTATTCGTTTTGCCTTGTATCAAATCAGCAATTTCCAGAACCAATTATTCTGCAAACTGGGTTCCAACACTTTCCTCTGTCAGCTGAGCAAAGGCTGAATTTAATTAAGTATGACAAGACAGCTTGTCTGCCACCAACTAAAATGCTTACGGATATGTTTATTAGGAATCATGAAGACTTTTTGATAAATGTCTTTCATTAACTGTGTAGCATTTCTCCGTGCGTCTACAGTTGCCTACCGTTCAGCAGCTCTGAGTTTCTCAGCACCCTGGGTGTAAACAGCCATGGACCAGTCGACACAGCGGGCGAAGCCTTCCTTCAGCAGGAGTTCTGTTATATTACCATTCTGACACAAAAGGAAATGAGCACAGTTAGGAAAAAAAAAATTGACAAGACAAAAATCCAGACTTTTAATGACACTGCTGCCACAAGATTCCTTTGTTTTACCGGGTGGAGGATGGTGCCTAGTATGATCTGGTTTGGGCAGCTCTCCAGAATGATCTGAACATCTCGTTGCAGGAGACGGGACTCCGTGAAGAATTTGGCCTCTGCTGCGAATGGCTCTGGGCTTTCTGTACCATCCCCTTCCCTCTTGAATGTGGGACACTGGAGAGAACAACATATACACAACAAATCACAGCCTCAATGAATGCGTGTTTTGAATTTGTACGATAAAATGTGGACATATCTGTCTAATGCAGTTTCCAGCAGTCAGCTAGTAACTGGTTTTAGTACATGCACTCATGATATGTTTTTCAGTGTCTGATATCCTCTTTTAACCGATGTCACCTTGCTGTTCATACTCTCTCTAATCTCCTTCTGAGTGTGACAAAACACCAGACAGACATAAGCAAAAACAGGCGGTGCCAAGCAGACGAGCCTTTGAACAGCGGGACGAAGAACACCTTGAAATGGATGTAATATCTTCAAGTGGGAGATGAAAAAGATTAGTTATCTTGAGTGGTCCATTGGCAGAGCTGGGCTTGGTGAAGGAGATTGATGGGAAAATTCGGAGGCTGCTAGAACAAACAGACTCAAGGAAGTGACAAAAAAAAGAGCCATTACTCATTTAATGAGTTGTCGTGTCGCCATCTTGGCCTTTTGAAACCAGCTGTGGCGAGCAAGGAGAGGATCTCACTGAGAACTCGATGAACCATGGACACCCATACTACACTCTGAAGCTTTATCTGTTTTACTTTACATGAAACTCATTTACAGAATGAACATTGTACTGAAAGAGACTTGAAACTACAGATTGAGACAATCAAATCATTGTGTGCTGAGGGAACAAAGTGAGAAGCAGGATCATTTTTTATAGACTTCTATACAAGTGGATAGATTGTTGTATCCAGAGAAGTCCCCCCCCCGATGGTCATTATTTTAAAAAATGCAGTTTAAGACATTTCTTCGCCCCAAGGCTGCGTCCATCTCTTCAATACAGTACATGGATTAGTCTGGCTAGAACTCTATTAATGTTATTAGAAGTTTATGTGATGGTAAAGCTAAAAAAGAAAAATGGGGAAAAAAAGACAGGTTCATATACTTAAACTGAAATGATCTATTTGTATATTTTATGTTCATGCATTCTTGTTTCTAGATGAACTATTTTACATTGGTAGAGTGACTCAGCTAGCTCAGCTTAAGGGGTCAGAGGAAAAGGCCTGATGTCCACTAAGGAGATATGTTTTCATTTCTACAAGGCTTATTTCAGAAAAAGTTGGAATTTGTATTTACTACATGGTGTAGAAAACTGATCACAGGGTAAAAATGTACACAGACCAATGAAAAGGAATTCCACAGTTTTCTAAAAACTGTTCCACTTGTGTTTCTTCTTTGAGAATCTGCTATTCTCTTCTTATTAAAAAAAGAACATTCTACCCAAATCTGATTAGCCATTTATGCACTTTCTTAAGCTACATGTTGCTACTGTACTCTCCCAACAACAAAATGTGAAGCCAAAAATAAACTGTAGAATTTGCTCAACAATTCATATTTAACCACATCCGTAGTAGAAGTTACCTTAACACCAGACAGCATAACGGTGACCAGGTAGTAGTCGGGGAGCAGCAAGGCACGAACAACACTGCCGTCACGCACATGCTCGATGATGGCTGAGGGGAGGAAAAAAGAACAGAATTTAGAAGCGTTTGACGGAGGGGGGAGGGAGAGTTTGTCGAATTACGATGTGCTCACAGACTCCCAACTCTTCGGGGTAACTTACTTATTTGTGAGCTGGACGAAATTTATCACACTTGCATGCATCCTGGACTTTATAAATAATATAGCGCTTGGCCTAAGGAAATGCAGGATTGAAATGTAGGAGTGATTTATTAGTGATCAAGGCTGCAATCCAATTTCTGAGACTTTCAGGAAAGCACACAGGGCGACGATTATTGAATTCAAAACAGTAACATTTGAACAGTGGTGGTGTTCGACTGAACGGCGATACTGAAGTGTCTCAATGAAGGCTTGCTCTCTGCTAGTTCTCAAAGAGGAGAAAGTCGCGGCCTCCTTGACAGACTGATCTCTACTTAAAGTGATGCTCAAACCAAAACCCATCTTTATCAAACACTCACTACGGTAGGCTTCAAAGGTTCTTGGAAGAAGGTCTCCTTCAACATAAAAAGGCTGTGATCAGCTTGAATTCATGCCGCTTACGGTGAATTTCAAAAGTTTTCACAGCCGAGGAAGAGACATCATGTTCACAGAAACTTGCAAAATCTCAGTGCAGCCGAATCCACTTCTCTGGCTGCTGTCAGTACATCAAGAATGTATAAAGTCATTTTGTCAAAATACAAATAGGATTCTTTATTGTGATGCTGACCTTAATGCTCTTATGTAGAGACACAATAACGAAAAAAACATCACACGGAGCAGAAGAGACAGTTTCATAGATGGTTTTCATACTTTGATATCTACTGGGATACACTGTCACCAAAATAAACTCAAGCTGAACTCAGCCTTTTCTTCTTTGGAAAGAGGAATTCAACGTATTTGTTTGTTTTTGCTTTTAAATGCATACAGGTGAAAACTCAAGATATAGATATTTATCTGAGTTGTGGCATTACAACAGGTGAATTTATTTGGAAAGCTTTTGAAGTGACTGCATGTTTCACACAGAAATAGTATTTTGAGATGGACTCGGTGTCTAAAAAGGTTTTTTTTTTTTGTTCCTGTGTATAACCTGTGTGCGGTTTATGTGTTTGTGTCTGCGGGGAACAGACAGCAGCAGTTTTCAACCGCATACACATTTAAAGCGCTTTGGCTGGATTCCTGCTTCCAATTTTAAAATAACCCTGAATGTCTCTCATGAATGGAAAGAACAAGGAGCGGGGAAAGAAAAAAAATAAAAAATGGAAAAAGCCACCCCCTGTTCATTTTCCCCATTCGATTAAAGTGTAGTGAAATGAGCTGAGCCACTGTTACCGGCAGTCGTCTGGAAATAAATCGAGTGGCACATTACACCTCGAGTAGGTCAGAGATGAGAGACTGAAGGAATGAGCTGGTGATGGGTGACATACTGTGAGCCATTATAGGCCGTGAAGTGGATTTTCAGAATAAAAACAGAGGATTTGTGACACAGGACGCAAATTTGACTTTTATGGGAAATCGGAGGCTTATGCAATGTGTGTTTTTGTATTCCGTGTGTCTTTGTTTCGACACTTTCTCTTTGCGAGTGCGGTGGTGTACGTGGCCCTCCCGAGCTCATTACCGTTGATGGGTTTCTGGTGCAAGGAGTCGACGAAGTTGCGCGGATTCTCTATGGTGTACTTGACGTCGCGGATGGTGTGTGCTCCGCCACCCTCGCTCCACATGCCCTTCTTGGAAGACTTCGACTGGTCCTCCAGTTCACAGAGTCTGGCCTGGTCCGGACTGGTTGCACAAATGAAAGGGAGAGTTGAAAAGATTACAAAATGAACACATTTCAAACTCAGGACAAGTGTTACAGTGATAAAACCACTCTGCTGCTCTCTGTTTATGCAGTGAGCAACAGCTGTGCAATCTAATTCTTCTAACAACTGATTTCAAACTAAAATTGTAAGAAAGATGCAAGTATGAGGCAAATGTTTTTCCTCTTTCCAGGCCATCTTCCTTAGAAGAATTTGCCTGCAGCTACAGTTTGAAAGCTCAACACCACACAGGCAGCTGTGTTCATCTGATCTAATTTTAATAGACCGGAAGCATTAAAAAATTAAATTTATTGCTTAAAATAAGAAACCAGAAGAAATCTCCACAGCAACGGTATAAAACTTACTTCAATCGAGCAGCATGAAACTGTCTGCTACTGAAACCTGCAGCTGCGTAAACCCGATACTTAAACTTTCACAGGCAGCTCCTTACCGCCTTTGAAAATTAAAAATGCTGTTTAGGAACACAGCTGCACTAAAGCTGTGACAGCTTGCGTTAAATATTACTGTTAACCAGGTTACAAAGATCAGAAGGTCTTTGGGTGCCATAAACGCTCTGACAACCTGCTTCAAAACACCATAGCTCGCTCTGCTAACAAGCTACAATTAATTTCACACCAGTTAGAGAGGAGCACACACCGTGTCTAACAAGCAGAAAAGGTTTTGATTGTAGAGTCGCTCCCCCTTGTTAAGCTCAACATGTTTAAAGTGCTCTTATGCAGGCTGGATTAAAATATGACCCATCCAAAGCTTTATCCCAATAAGCAAATATTAGCATTACAAGAGTACAGCTGCAACAACTTGTGGCTGATTTCTATCATGTCGGGTTCATTGCAAATTCATCTATTTGCTGCAACAGCTGCAGCTTTTACTGTGCAACAAATCTGTCACTGGTCATGTACAAGTGCTTATTAAAAGTATATGACTATATTGTAAGTGTGGGTTCAGTATGGCTTATGCTTTGTTGAAGTAAGTGCTGGATAAAGCGCTGCCGCTGACAAACTGCACTTTTGTATTGCTGGCAACCAGCTGATGACCAGATTATAACTGCAAAATGTATCTGAGCATTCTGTGAAGAGACAATAACAGTGTTTGACAGCTCCTTCAAAAGCAACCACGCAGCTGGCTACAAACGCCACAATTAATTCCATGCTGGCTCCCTAAATTGTGCAGCCTAATGCTTTTGGAGGGCCCTTGTACAACTTTAATTATTCAGAACTTCAAATAGCCAACAGGCTTTTGTTTTTCCAAGAAGCAAAGCAGGCCCGATTGGTATGGGACGTGCGGCGGCGACTACAGCGTCTCAAAAACGAACAGTGCATTAACTGAATTTTTCACATCTTGCTGCTTAAAAGACACTGCTCACTTTACAGAGGCAACAAAGTGGCTTTCAATTAAAATGCCACACACACATAAACACAGACATAGCCTGTTCTCCAGCTGTGTATTCGTAATTGGGCGTTTGGACTTGTGCCCAAAATGCAGTCAAGTGCACTTTCCCCTCTACACTGATTTAGCTACTAACTTCAAATTGAATTGAAACAGTTTCTTGCTTACTGGGCAACAATAGTGAAACTTTCTGTAAGAAGCCAATTGTGTTTAAGCTACTTAGAATTTAAGTACCAAACGGGAACAGAAAGCTACAAAGATATAGCCAGAGAAACTGAGAATGCAATCAAGGAAAGCAGACGTTGTAAAGCCACAGAATAAATGGAGAGCGACTCATAAGCAGAGATTGTTTAAGATATAGAAATAACTTCATGTGTGGAGGCAGATGATAGTGAACTTATCCGTGTCTCCAAATAGACCGGTTTCTTTTTAGGTCAGCAACTCCTTCCAACCAACACATTGCTTCAAATCAAAACAGATATTGATGGGTGAGAAAGCACAATACTGAGCGAGACAACTGGAGGAACAAGGGCCAAGAAGAAAACTTTCCAATTCCCTTATATTTGAACACGCTGTAGGCTACATCTTTCATCTCCATATATCTCCCTTGTGCTCCCAAAAATACTTTAAATAGATACAAAATGTTGAACCTTAGTGAGGCGCTTTACAGCTCCCAGTTGTCTTTGTGCAGTTTGAAGAGGTTGTAGGAAGTCATGTTCCCCAGCGTGCTAAACTGGAAGGGTTTCACTCCGAGTGAACAGCGAGGCCCCGATGAAAAACAGTTCATCCCCCAGACGTTTACACCCCTCAACCAGCTCTCCTCTGGGGCTCCGGTTAAAACAGAGCAATGGGGGGTTATAAGGCGCAGTTGGTCTCCGTGTTATTGTAGCTCGATTCTCCTCCTGGTGGAGGGGCGTTCTATAAACCAATCAGTCAAGCCCCCTGCCTGTGGTTCTAATTTTTCCAAAGGAAAAGCGCAATACTTTGGAATCTCACTAATTTTCTGGGTCTAGCCACCTCAGTAATTGGATTAAGCACTTTTAAAGAAGAGCAGTCAGTAAGTGACAGAAACTAAGATGCAAGGCTGAGACGAGGAGATTGATGAATGCGTCCGTTTCAATCCTCCTTTGGCTCAGCACTAAGGATAGCATGGTGGTGTTTTTTTTTTTTTTTTATGGCTGATCTAGTCAAAGTGAAACTCCGTCAAATGATGAAACCTCCAACGGCACACCAAAAACTCATCTGTGTGATGTAAATAAATATAAATCTGCCTGACACTGACAGCTGCGATACGTAGGAGGAACACTTTTGAATGGAAGAGTTTCAAAGCCAGAGGAAAAAGAAGAAAAAAAAAAAATCCCAGAATTCATTAACGGTAAGAGACGCAATAACATGCATGATACGTACGTGCGCAGCAAGTAAGCAAGATGATTACAAGTCATAAATCATGTGCTTGTGTCAAACATGAAAGTCAGGATCAAAAACTTTTAGAGGAATTTTTTAAAAAGCACCACGTAGTGCAACAAAGTGTAAGGGTGGTACACAAGTGTTCGAAGAGAGTTCTGATAGAAGTCTAAAGACGAGCATCTTAATAACACTCCAAATCAATAGCAGACAACCAGCTCATCTCTAATAATACATCCGACATAAATAATCCTTATATTGTTCAGAAAATTTAGCCGAGGGAAACACTGACCTGTCTCAAAGAATATACTTGTTTCCATGACTGGAGAGGCCAAATGAGAAACAATTTAAATATGGATTACGAAGCGCCCACATGCAGTTTATGCACACCTAACTGACAAACATGTTCTCCTTTCCATTACTGTGGCATCACCTGAGCATGCCAGTCTCAAGTCTCAACGAGCCCAACAGTAACTTCACTGTAAAAGTCGCAATGGTGGGTCGGATACCACTTTCAACGTGACACAAGTCACATGCATTCAGCTGCATGCATCTGTGTGGAAACAGCACAAAAATGGCTTGAAACAGAGATTACATGGCTTAAAAAGGGCTTATTTTTTTCTGTATCATGTTTTTGTGCTGGCGTCACATGTCGCTGGTTTCAGATCTGAGAATATATTCAAAAAAATTCCACACCAGGGTATCCTAAAGTTACTTGGAACCAATCCTTTTTCCCGATGTGGTATTTCAAGTTGAATACATTTTCCAGAAACGGTGTAAGTATCATAAAAAAACCCATTAAAAAACATCCGCCTGCTGTGGCGCGCCGAGAACTGGCCACAGCCATAGGAATCGTGAACTGGCCGACCGTGTTAGTGAGCAGCAGTCATCATCTCAACACATGTTCAACTGCGCTGTCCGAAGCCATCACCATTCTCATCACCTCTGTAATTATCATCACATCGTGATCAATGTAGCCAGTCACGAGGAGTAATGATATTGGTGGCTAGTGCACTGAGAGAAAAACTAAAGCCTTAAGTCCTTCCTGAGTAATGGGCCTCCCCTTTGGCCAAATGATGCCAGCTTACACTTAAAGCATCATTTACATTAGTGCTTGTTCTGGGCCATTGCACAGAATGCTTGAAATGGGTCATTAACGGCCAAATATTCACATCATCTCTGCTCATGTTGGAAGATAAAAATGTAGCAGCATGAGTCAAATTGCTTGTAATGTGTGTAATGTGCAAATACTGCCACTGGGGGGGATATGCAGTACTTTGTCATATAGAACTGGGTGTGCAAGTGTATTTAGGGGATTACTGCGTAAGGGCAATGTGGCAGAAAAGGGTTTCAGAGGGACATCATTGTAGCAGCAGGGTAATGCTGCCACCATCTGGGATACCATGGCTCTTTCTCAATTCTCTACAGTCTACCAGTTGAGGACTTATGTATATCTCCCCACAGATTTACAAGTGTTGTACTGCTATAAGCTCAAGCAAGCAGAAGATTGCATTATGTTGCCAAAAGCGATTTCCTCCCTATTCGCTACACAAAGTGTCGAGTTGCAAATTAAAAACAAGTTTTGACATCCAAAATTACTTCAGCCGCACTGAGTGAGCCAACAGTTTTGGAGGGAAGAATTTATATCAGTCTCTTGGATAAAGACGCACTCCTGAAAGTCTTCCATGCCGACATATCCGATTATGGCATCATGACAAATATATATATAAATAACACATAAATCTGAAATGGAACAATGGAAGACACCCAAACAGAAGTTTTCAGAAGCTTGCCTTAACTAAAAGTAGCAACACAGCAATGTGAAAGTCAGTTCTGCAAGAAAAATCCTACCAAAGTAAAAGTGCTTAAGTACTATCTGTAAAATATATTTTAAAAGTAAAAGTACTGGTTTGGAACTTGTGACCAATATATTATTATATATATGGCATCATTAGATTATGAATACTGAAGCGTGAACATGTTACTGTTGTAGCTGGTGAGGTGGAGCTAGTTTGAACTCCTTTGTATACAGATTTGCTTTCAGTTTGGACTTTCTCTAATCTTTGATTTTTAGTGACATACTGTATAATTTGTATGTTTAAGGAAAGAAAACCACATGAGAAGCTTCGAGGGAAAAAGTCAACACTTGCTGTAAACAACAGACATTTGAAACGTGACCCTAAATCCACATGGCTTTGTGTAAGACTTCCAAAGCCAGAAAGGTTGCCAACCACCGTATTCATTTTTTAAAGTGTCTTGTAAATGTTGATATCGATTGTGTAAAATCCTCATCTTGAAATTAACTAAAGGTGTGATATAAATGTAGTTGAGTAGAAAGTACAATATTCCCCTCTACATTAAAGTTTAAAATAGCATGACATGGAAATACTCAAGTACGTCAAAACTGTAGTTTGGAACTTTCAACTATATGGTACAGCCCCTTATTGCGTGGGACTACGGAAACATATCAAACGTTCGGAAACATTAAAACATATCGGTACAAGAGCTTTTCCGAAACATCAGCGGGCCGATTTATGCTAACCGCAATTAAATCTGTCTGTATTTATAGCAGTTGATAAGTAACAAGAAAATTAAAGTAATGGAACGCCAAAAAGATAGGCTGAGCTATTACATAGTTTGCCCACTGGAGAGCACTGCGACTCTACCGTTGGCAATACACCAATCCCTGAGAGCTCACCAATCACATAACAGTTACGCTCATCAGTGCGAAACAGAACGAAGTGAGCGTGAGCTGAAGAACAAACATTATCGCCTGTAGACAAGCTTAACCTTACGTTTTAGCTACAGTTAATAAAGGCAATTCAAGCGAGTAAATGGACAACAACGCTATCACACAATCTCCCCCATCACAACAGCGCTAAAAGTAACTATAAAAGCTTAACACACTGCTAAACCTGTTAGCCAGAGGCTAGCTAATGCTATTGCTTGTCAGTAGAAAACATATCAACAACTCACATGTCAGTACAGTTAGACAGCAATGTTAAGGCGACATCCCATAATGCTGTGCAGCAAACCACGCTGTACTATTCAAAAACATTATGTGATGGTGTGTCATCTTGAAAAGCTCATAAAACCGCTCCAATCTTTCCAAACCTAACTTCCAGGAGGGAAGAAAAAAAACTTTTGCTAAATGACAGTGAAAGCTAATTTCGACTCTCCCCACTTATCATAAATCTTTATGTGCTTGAAAAAAAAAAAAAGGAGCCAGTGAATCATTAATAATAATTTGATTTTTTTAAACCCTTAAATATGAGCTATTGGCATCAGCTTTAAAAATCCTGTTCAGTCGGGCTGTAATTATTACAAAAAAAGTGTAGCTAAATGCATTCACTTTTTGTGTCAGAAAAGACAGACAAGACGAAAAGCAGCAGTCCTATGCTTACATCTAAATGATACGATGGAGAGTGATTTACACCTGACAAATAGTATTCAGAACCGTGTCATGCCTGCATATAGTCCATTCATGTCAACCAACACAGCTGTGATCTTTCACACATTACAGATAGCAGAGAAGCAAAATTCTTACTTGTTCCCTCTGATTCCTTCTCTGCGGACTGTGGCAAGGCCCTCGTTGACCAAAGACTCAGCGATGTTCTCACCTGTTGTGTCTATAATGAGAAAACAGGAAAAAATTTAAACTAACAGTTGATTCCTTGAAAAAGACTCTAAGGCGCTGTAACATCAATACAGAATTTGGAAGGGAGTATAGGGTAAAAAATAGGGTATTATAACAGATAGTTCCCACAGTGTGACATGGCTTTATACAACAAAAGCAAAGGGGGGAAAAAAAACATTTATGGAACGAGTATTGCTCCAGTCAGTGATGTACAGTATGTGGGAATTATCAATGGCTAGTTTGTGATTCAAGAAGTGACACTATACCTTTCCCCAGGTAGACCATGCCGTACTCTCGGCCCAAAGCGGTCTTGATTTCCACCGTGAAGCACACCTCTTTGCCGATTAGCTTCTTCCGCAAGAACTCTCTGGCTTGGAAGGCCCATGGCTGCAATATACACAGGAACAGTAATGCACACCTCCACAGAACAAGGTGGACTTTGACACGTCAGTATCAGGAGAAGTAAACAGCTAGTAGACACACGCTGCTGCAGCGACAAACTGAATCCTTCAAAAAAATAAAATGGCCACTGCATAGTTTTCACACAAAAATTATAGCATGGTAACAGTTGGTGAACCCACTACAGGTTAACCTCCCTTCTGCTTCCTCACAGCAACCAGACAGATATAATGTGCTCTAATGATGTGCAAATAGCACCCACCAGTGGTAGCTGGTTAATGTCGGGTGCTGTACCGCTGCCCTCTTCCAATTATCCTGAAGAAAGGCTACTTAAACAAGTTGAACTAATTACAAAATAATCATGAAATAAAAACAGTGTACTGGAACTACACCCTCATTAGTCCTGTCAATGGTTTGGTTCATTACGATGTGAATACGTACACTGCCTGTGTGAGGGCCGCTGGCCAAATGAGTGTATGGATCCTTCAAAATCAACAAGCAGTTAAACTCTGGCTGCTCTCTAATTGGCTGCCTCAGATTGCAGACTAAGGCCAGACCAATTATCAGTCTGACATTCAGCATTTTTACGATAATCAGTACTTTTTTTAACCGTTGCTCGATAAAATACATTAATTTAAAATGTGCTACTTTAGCTCTGATGCAGCTGCTTCTCTCTATCCGTAGGCACCACTCTGTAGTCTGCAGCAATTTTCCATTCACAGCACTTACATGAGTAGAAATCACTAGTAATCCCCAATCAACACTGAAGAATAAATGTTGTAAAGTCCTCTTTTATTTAAACCTACATAAAACATTAAAAACAGCCAAGTGTTGCGTTGTAGTTTGTGCTATGCTAGATTTTGACACCAACATTTCAATCTGTAGATTTTGCATTTATATCTGTTCCAAATATCGATTATCAGTCTCTGTGATTATCACTAATAGGTGTCGACCCTGAGGAAGAAACCACATCGCTCAACCCCTATTCCAGAGACACTCCCGCTGTCATTGGTAGCATAATGCCATTATTTCGGACAATTTTTCCTCACACTTCCGCACGCATCATTAACTATACGTGTCCAACTCTCTCTCCCACTCAGCAGTACATCAGTCAAACAGTACTGCAGGAGGTGGCAGGTTCAAGTGGAGGTGATGGTGAGCTCCCCAAATGACACAAAGTTTGGTTTCATCTTTACCAAGCTGGTATTGTCATTAATTAACCGACATCGAACTCAAAGTCACAGAGTGGGGGAACTTTGATGCTTGCTTCTATAATTGTGGTTAGTCCATGTACGCTGAGCTAAGCAGTCTGTTGGTGTTTGTATGACATGTCAAATACATTTATATTGTCTTGTGCTCCCACATTACTGACAGTGAACCAGCTCAATTATTAGCAGCATGACGGTAGCAAAAAAACTGAAAAAAAACACGGTTTTCAATAAAATATTATCTTGGTTGAACAAACCATTTCTGTAAGCTTCCCTTAATGGATTTTATATCTGATAAAAAAGTAGAAAATGTTTTTTAAAAGACATTTCAGCCTTGCAAGATGCAGAAAGTAATAGATTTTTTCAACTTTCAGCAGAACTGACAGCCGTGTCTGGCCGTGATAAATAAATTGATGAATTTTCTAAAAAGGCACGATAAGAAAATGTCAGATTACACGAGTGTTATCGTAAAGTCTAGCATTCATATGAGAATTTTTATCTCTAATATTATTACGTTTGCTCGGTTGAAAAGAGCAAAGCCGTGCGACAAAAATTCAGAGAAAAAAAATCTTCTCCCCAAAGTGAAAAACAGATGCACACATCAGCAACATTCCTCCAAATTGGAATATCAGTGCGGGTGCCACGGGGATACTTGCACTGTCCCTGTCAAACAAATATAAATGAACACAATTGAATAGACCCACTCACCTCGTCAGGGGTGTCCTTGGCGTCAGATTGGCCCTGTGCGGCTCGGCGGGCCATGGCTCCGGCTCGGATATTACTGAGATTGATCTGGCGCTCTGGGGGTGGGCCACCTCGAGGCTGGCCCCGAACAATGATGGCACAGCCCGACAAGACCTGGAGAGAGGACAGCAGATTGATTGTCGACTGGGGAATCAGGCAGAATCGGCAGTGCAAGAACTGGCTGCACTAATCAAATACAGTTAATATCTTCTGACACTCTTTTTGAAAAATCTATTCATCACAGAAAAAGACACATCTGGAGAAAACAAAAGACCCTTCAGCCAACTCCGTGAAAGGAAGCCACCTGTGTGAAAGAAAAACATGGGTGGCAGTTTTTAGTTTCTGTTTCCTCTAAGACAATGCTCGCACTATGGTACACTCACTTGACAGTTGTATTTACAGATAGTGTCAATCTGCTAAGCACTACAGGAGGGATTGATCTGGAATTGGTGGAACATAAACAAGCACAGCAGGTCAGCAAATCATTAGTGTGGCAGTTGCAAACTAACAAAAATCACTGTAGCTTTAAAAGTCCTCAAAGATGTAACGGGAGCCTGCGCGACTGTTACAGAGTTAGAAAGCAACTTCACGCGGCATGTTACCATGGTGACAGTCTGTCATTCAAACTCAAGGTGAGATCACGCCATCTGATAACGTAGCTAAATACAAAAAAAAAAAAAAAAAGGAGAGAGATAACCTACTCTTGGGTTTGACAACCATGGCATTTACACGAATCTAAGCAAACACCTTTTATCTGCAGACTCTCCAGCGTGTCTGCAGGGAGCATCACTGGGGGCTGTTGATCTAAGATGTGGGTTAGATAAAAACTCTTTCATCGAATCATCCCGAGTCTTCCCCCACTGACAGACTAACTCTCTCCAAGTATAGGCAAAGCAGAGCGGCAGCTGCAATATTCACAGATTGACCAGCCACGAGGTGAAACAAGGCAAATAAGAGCAAACCCATCCTTCTGTTTACAAAAGAATCGCCACCTGAAAAGCTCTACACAGCTTTGCTTGACCCCTTGATCACCTCTCTTAATGTACAGATGCGAACTCTTTCGCAATCATCTTTTCACGCTGGGAAACCTCTCTGCGAAAGGAATAATCTTGATGACATGGAAAGAATGCAGACATTCCTGCTTTGTAATAAGACGTGAGCTGGAGGGCTATCGTGATCTTATAATATGGAAGGAGCATCAGTTTTTCTCAAAAGAGTTTTGTTGGTGGTTGATGTGTTGCGATATAGATAGTCCACAAAAGTGCATGAGTAAAATAAAAGACAGTTTGATCATTCAGTTTATTGAAATTGCTATCAGGAGTGTCACTGAAACACATCATGTTCCTTTGTCCCCACAGTTTTCTCATTAATATATTTTTTACGTACCAAATGTTCTCCAAGCTAACTAAGAGGGTCTATCTGTTTGTTCCAGTTTGCAGAATTGAGGAAAATGCCACATATGATCAGTATATATGGGAATCATTTCTAGGACATTTCACTCCTGGAATTCTTTTTTTAAACTTAAGCAATACAGCAAAAAAGAACTGACCAGGTTGAACCTTAATACATACAGGGAAAATGAGAAACGACCAATTTAGAGGCCTTGAACAAGACAACACTGCTGTTCCAGTTTCATGGTGGCACACACAAGACTGTGGCACCTTCCACAAGTCAAACTATGCATCCATGCAAAGGCATTTATGGAGAACATTTTGTTACTTTTTTTTTTCGGATTTAAAGTCAAATTGACATTTGGCCAAATCGAAAATGAGAGAAGTTGTAGTAACACATGGACAACCTCAGATTACGGATAACCGAGATGAATGGGAGATTATAGGGGCGAAGGAAGTTGTAGCTACGTGTCATTTTGCCGTGGTTGGTTCTAACCAGTACACCAGTCAGCACACTGAGGAAATGCTGTCTGTGACTTTAGCTGAAGTTTCATTAATCAGCTTATTTACTACAAACAGAGTCTTAGCGCGTTAAAACACGTCTTAATTGATTTTATAGGAAACGCTGAGAGGCACCAACAACTACACGTTAACTTGTAGAGTGAAGCTTTTCATGTTAGCTTTTATGCTAAGCTCTAATTTGCATGTGGTCAGTAAGTTAAATGAGTTGGGCAGTGTTCCTGAACATGCCGCTTGTTTACACAGACAACCAAGTTTGTTCATGAAAGCTAGCGGTTATTAGACAGTAACGCTAGTCAGCTAACCGTTAGTTAGCGATTAGCTGGGGAACTAAACATCTGTTAACGTTGCAGTCACTCAACTGCATTAGTTTCCAGTCAGGTTAATTATTTGAGAATATAAATTAAATCTGTCAGTGGACTTTCAACAGCTTTATATCTGTCAATTCACTTTACACTTAAAGGAAAATAGTTCGTTTGAGTTACTTACAGCTAACTATCAAGTTAGCAACATGCTAACGCCAGTTTCCTTCAGCCTATTAGCAGGCTAGCTAATTTAGCTAACATTAGCTGGCATGCTGCCGCAGCCATGTGAGCTTAATGTTCCTGACAGGTGTCGTTACTGTAATGTCAACACCGCCATTCAACAGACATTCATATTTATGACGCCACGTAAGTTCAGTTAAAGTTGTGTGACAGCGGACGCTTAGTTTCGCCTTCATTAGCCCTCTGCTCACTGAGCTAACTAGCTGTACCCTCAGTGAGCTTCACATATTCTTGTGTTAGGATTCCTACCATTTTCACAATTCCTCTTTGCAGAGGAGCAGTCGAAGCGGGGGCTGTCTGAGATGGTGCCGAAACAGATGCCATGTCCACCGGTTTGAAATACAACGCCGTTTACGGGGTAACCAGGTAAGGGAGCTGGGACTCTGAAGTGAGTGCCTGTCCTAATGAAAGCCAAGAGAAAAAGACTGAGCACCGATCAACACACACGTTATACCGGAAACACACTTTGCCATGCATACACACACGGTAAACCGTTCCGGGTCTGGTAAGCAGAATGAATGGGAGCGAATGGAGCCGCTGGTCGACCGCGTAGGCGAATTGAAATAAAGTCTTCCGGAGCAGGAGGTTCGACACGTCAGCACAGTGTGGACGCAGCTGATGCCGCGTTCAGGGCGCCTCGGAAAAACACATGCACACAAAGCAGACAGCAAAGGGACAAATGAAGCATGTTCACTTTGGGTGATGGAAACACAGAAAATGCATCCAAAGTCATGGCTGAGAAATATTGCAGCTGCATTCTCTAATTTAAACTTTGTTTTTGTCCTTAATAAATAACTTTAATAACTTTGTTATAACACAGTAACACACTGACTTGTGTGAAACCATGTGAATCAACTGTGACTTCTTACAGGCTGGAATGCATGTTTTGTGTTTTACAGTCAAATATATCATATATTTAATAGAATAAAACAGAGCATTAATTCATATAATTCACACTGTTAACAAAACAGACTTCAAACTGGCCTAAATTTGTATTTAAGAAGGCCGCATAATATGCACATGTAAATATATATAAAGTACCGGCACCAGAATTCAAATAAAATGTAAGAAGACACTGACACCAGATCTCTGAACCTGAGTGACCAACAGCAGTACTTTGCATTCCAACTGCACCTTTAAACCACACTTCCTATGTAAATTGTTGCACTGCTGCAAGATCTTACACACAGAATAAATAAGCTATCTTTGCAACATCAACCTAAATCTCTGTTTTCATAGGTTAGGAAAGGTTGTATATTATTTGAACAGTATTTTTGCACATTTCTTGCTCTCCTTTTCTAAAACTGACGATCTGACAGTGTAGATGCACCGACAGGATTGCTGCTTAACTGCACATTGCAATGAAAATATAGTAATTCTATTCTATTCAGTAAGATAAGACAGAACTTTTTTTTTAATCCTGAAGGAAATTGTAGCAGGTAAAAATTACAACACCAGAAGACTGAATGCAGTATCTAATAGAATAGCAATAAGACATAAGTACAATACTTTAGAGATAAAGTAGTACCAGTTGTGATGCTGAAGTAATAAAGTAATATTCCACATGATAATAAAGTATTGCACATTTATAATACAGTATATATATTAACAATGCAACACAGACTGCTCCCCGACTACCAGGCATTATTCATATCATTAATTCACATGGTGTAAGGACTGATTATTTCCAAGAATGTTTGTCCATTTCTTTTTTAACCAAAGAAGACGCATGTGCATGCAGTGTCATATGGATAAACAATTTTGCCCTCAGTCGTAGTGAAATCAATAAACAGGGCAAAGAATCCACCAGATGAGAACGTAGGCACATTAAAAAAAATTAAAAAAATTGCCGCTCAGTTGTACTTGGCAGCTCCCAGAGGTGATTGAGAGTAACTGAGATTTGTGTGTGTGTGGGAAGCAAGGCACCGCTTGAAAAAGACCATTTGTGCTCAGGGGATCTACTCTAAATATTTGCAGGGCAAATACCTTGTGATGTTGTTATAAATCATGACTCTTTTGATGCTCTGACATTAATTCCCAGAAGGAGTAACTGCTAATGATTACACTGAACTATGTGTTTGGGAAATACAGACAGTTAGCGCAAGACAAAGCAAGAGAGAGAGATCGGAGGAAAAAAAATAACACGTACACACTGTAAACAAACTATATTTCAAGGTCTCCAGATGACTTGCGGCACACATGCACGGACGCTGAGCGTATGCAGTGTCAAATTAAAGGAAAACATATTATAAAGCATCTGAGAGAGGCCATTCCACATGACCAGAACACCATCAGTGCTCCTTGACAGATTGCAGTCTCGAGCTGGTGTTCAACAGTGATGATCTGGAAACTAAAACTACTGCATATTATGATTCACCTCATTTTCATACTCATCAAACCATTCAGTGAGCCCGTGGGCAATGCAGAGCTGCTGCTGCTGAGCGTCTGTCAGGAGCTGCAGTTAAAAATACACGGAGAGGATGTTCGTTTACCTTCGACTGAAGCTCTTCTTTTACAGCACAGTCTCATCCTAAGTCTATTTTGTGTTTAAATATGTATATGTTCATATTTTATTGTTCCAAATCACCTCCCTCGTTACTCCATTATCTCTCCCCGTGTGTGTTTCTTATGTAGCTTTCATGCACATGTAAATGTATGGAGTGAGTTGTATGCGTTGCCCTCTGGGTGTAGCATCACATGTCAGCCCTGGAAGAATTATGAGACTTGCAGGTGGACAGTTTTGGCTGTCTGCAGGCATTAATGAGTTGTTGCGGTAAAAGTTCATACTAGACTGCCAAAAACTAAACACCACCAACCAAATACATTTTGATATTACAGTATTTACCATTTTAAGCAATGTGGCTACTACAAGAATATCTTCCAGTTTTATTAGTCAGTCTCTAGCCGACTAATAAAAGTTTGTCAAGTGGAAACTTGGCTCCTCACTTCAGGGGAAAAGCTGGCATCGTGATATCACCTGAGGAAAAGAAAAGAAACAAAGGGAAAATTCACCGGCACATTATGAATGCAGAATGAGACTAGTTTCAGAGTGAGGGAAGGTACTGAGAAAGTTATTTTGAAATGGTTTGAAAACGTACTTGATAACTTGGGAAACACCAATAAACAATGTACGGCACACATGCATACATTCTCTAAAAGTCTGATCAAACCTTTACATTTTTTTGAAAAGAAAAACAAAAATGTAAGAAAAGTATTCATACTCTTAATTGAAGATTAACACTTTCATAGTTTGTTCTTTGAACAAAAATGCCCGCTGCATATGTTCCTGGTCAGTAAATCTGTAATTGTCTTTGTAATGGGCTGACATCTTCTATGCATTATTGACCAGCAGGTAATGACTGACCTGGAATTGCTACAAAATCTTTGGTGTAAATGTGTTCATTATTGCATAAAACTCTGCACACTCTATGGCTAATGTGTATATTATCACCACTCCAATACCCTAAGATTAACACAGGCTCATTGGATGTTACTTTTATTATTGTGGCATATTATTAGGAAAGCAGACAAGCAATTGTAAAAGCTTAAGGCAAATTATTTAAATCACACATCTGTTTATTAGTGATTTAAATGTAGATGCTGTTTAACATCATCTTCTGTGCTTTGGCTGCAGTGCACAACAAATACAATGTTTAAATGAGGGTAAGCAAGTGTTTCATTAAAACTTAAACAAAAAAGCAATAAAAGCTAAATCTAGAATGGCACCCTGGCCATAAGCATAATGTTTTAAGAATCATGAGAAAAAGAGAGAACAGAAAAAAAATTCAAAGATTTGGTGTAACTGGTTTGACAAAATGAAAAAATTAAATATTCTAGAGATAAATCAACTGACTTTGCATGAAATGTGTGATTAACACTACTTAATTTATACCTTTGTAAAAAAATAAAATGAGTTGAGAGCTCGAATAATCTCAAGATTAAAAAGTAAATTAAGTTTATAACCAGTTAAATTGAATGGCATGTTGCGATAGGAGACTTTTGTGGTCTGCTGCTGAAATCCACTCATTTTGCCACAGCCACGAAAATGGAAAATCAGGATATCTATTGATAATAAAACATGAAAACAATCATCTGTATTCACAGAATGCAAGAACATTCACCGAAGTACATTTCAAAAACACCGACATCACACGACTCGCACTGCATTCTCTTAACAGGGTGGAGAAAACTGACCATGGAGGCAGCTCCGTTGCGCACAGGGCACCTCGGTGCGCTTTGGAGAGCTTTTGGTAACCGTTTTACGCGGCAGAATATTTCCCATTTTTTAACGCTTCAGGACACAACAAAGCACCGATATGAGTTGTTTACGCACAAGTCAAAGAACTAGGACGTGTAGCTAAAACGTCTAAGTGGTCTGTGGCTCTATTAATGCACTTAAACTCCCGCCCCTTCCTTTGGCGAGCCCACAGTAAAAATTTACGCACCACGAAAATGTGGTGCTGTCTTCACAACACGACGTAAGTACTTTAATCAGCCTCGTTTGGCACACACTGTACGTGCAATAAAGTACTATAAATCAATGACTACGTCGACTCCCCAGTAATAAATAAAAATGCTCGCCTTATTTGTCCTTTGTCTCGGTTGGCAAGGAGACGATGGTGTCCAAAAATGGCTGTCCTCTATGCAACCTGGCTGATTGTACACACAGTATTATTGTCCTCAAACTCATGGTTAATGTATAATTTGGGCCATATGGCATTTTAAAATCCGAGCCTTTATTTCGGTGGCACTTCGATCTGTGTGGACCCAACTAATGATATTCAATTAGTCATTAAACAGGCCAAAAGACGAGGCTCGTGTGGGTTTTCACATGGGCTAATATTTGCTCGTCAAATATTTCCCTTTGAAATGTTTACAACGCATTTTTATCTGCTGGCTGCCCAAGGAACATCTGTGAGGGTTATTTTAGCCTCCCTCTTCTGGATAAACCAGGTCCCCCAATTGGCCCTTTCCTTGCGCCCATGTACGAGTCTATTTGTTCACGTTTTGAAAGAAAATGTAATAAAGAGAGACTGCGTGATGGATTTATGATTTATCAAAAGCACTTTACCATATGGCAGTCGTCATTGGAGCAGATTCCCAAATGTTTGCTTTATGAAAGGAGCCCAGAGATCCCTTTTTAATCTGAGCCACTTCACCTGGGAAAGGATGCTCAAGTCACGTGACCACAAGTCCCCCACTAAAGTATAGGACACGTACCGGTTGTTGGTCACTTAGTTTCTTTGAAAGAGAAAAGTTGCATCTTGATTTTTTGGTAACATTAAGTCGAGCCAAAGCAGAAAGTTGAAGGAGTGAATTGTGGTGCGCTGGAAGTTTGTTTGGCAGCCACTGCGCAAGAGGGAAACCTCTGAATTCCCAAACTTAATTACTGCAGCGGTACACAGAAATGTTGACTTTCATAAGAATCCAGATTTACTTGTTTGTGCTGCTTGAACAAATGCGGCATAGCAGAGAAATATAATCAATTCTGCACATGTGCCATGAGTTTACCTTTCTGGTAAAGCTTCGCCTCAAATGCACAATATGTTGGTGCAATATGCCACGAAAGGAGGCTGCAAAGATGACGACAGACTTTTCTCTAGTTAACCATGCAAATCGAACTGCACTTTTAGTGACTGCAACTAGATATTTCATGTGCATAATAACGATAATCAAGCATAAATTTGGAATTGTATTACCTGCTGGAGGGCTCTTTGGAGAAACCATGAATTCCCCATCACTAAAACTGGTCTACCTCGCTCTGCATGTTGGTTTAAATAATATACTGGAACCTTGTTTTGAAAAATCACGGAATAAATGAAAAATACAAGTGAAATTACGACTAGAATATGTTTTACATAATGAGGTTTGGGCACCAAGCTGAAGCCAGTTTTTACTATGATGTCCAGACGCACTTCCCAGCAATATTGACATTTCTGGAAACAGGCCACCACGTCATGTGGAGGTCTGCAGGCCTATAAATTTCTGCTGGAGGGTGTGATTCCTCTCATTGTCATTCAACAGAGGTGCGTGGAGTTACCTGGACAGTTGAACTTTTGCAGCATCAGGTCGTCTGTTGTCTGTTTTATCATCAAGGCTGGAGACAAGCAGGGATGTGTGGGACAAACATTGATCTGCAAACCAGAGGTTAATTTTCTAATTATTTTTATCATGCACTTTAAGACTATTATTAGGTTTTAAGAAGCTTAACACGCGTGGATAGTTTGCTGCGCAGTAAGCATAGACGGTAAATGACATTTTATAAGGATTCTTAAGAGCAATTTAAACAGTATAGGCTGTGTTATGATAAGGTGGTGGAAGTGTCAACCAGCTAGGAGGAATGTTTCTCAACGGCAGACCTCTCCCAGAATCCAAGAGAAGGAAAATGATTGAACTTGCCTCGGAAGGAGTCCGTCCGAGTCAGATCTCCAGGATACTCCGGGTACGCACAAGCCAAATGGCACAAACAGAGCATTCCCAGGCTTTAAACGTTTATAATGTGTCGGGTCTTGGTCGAATCAGTCTAGAGATTGATGGGAAACGTATCAGTAAATCAACACAGCAGCGGATTTTAGCCGTTTTCCTAACAAACTGCGCGTCTTTTAGGTGTCCAACGGGTGCGTCAGTAAGATCCTGAGCCGCTACCGGCGCACAGGACTCCTGGAACCAAAGACCATCGGAGGGAGCCGCCCTCGGCTTCTCACCCCGGGCGTCATCTCCACGATCATCCAGTGCAAAAGGGAAAATCCAACCATTTTTGCTTGGGAAATCCGCAAACTGCTCGCAGCAGCACGAATCTGCAAGGCCTCCAAAGTTCCCAGCGTAAGTAAGACGGAAATTTAAATCTTATTGTCACGAAACATGTTCCAGCAACTTGATGGTGCTTTCTCTTTTTTGCGCACTGTGTTCTGCAAGGTGTCGTCTATAAACAGGATTTTAAGAAAGATCCACTTGGACCACGGACCGATGTGCCTGGAGGTCAACTCTCACAGGGCTGAGCAGGGTGAGTGTCCTGGAAAAGATCACAGAAGAGTGAAAATGAAGTGAAAAGATGATTAATCTTCACCATGCACTGTCATAAAATGTAACCCAAACAGCCTCATTTAATCCTCATATAATGGTTTACATAACTTAGCCTGTTGATTTTCTACATTTTGAACCAAGAAACAGCCTCAAAAAAGCAAATTGTTGCACCAATTGCTTTCATTAGTGACACACAATAGAATTAAGTTCATCCAAATTAAGCAAACAAGTCACATTAGTGTCACTGGTTTAAATTAGATGCAGTTAATAAACTGTTTGCTGCAACTTAATTTAGAAGAAAGTCAACTTGAAGTTTTCCATCTAAAGTGTTTGCTTTACCCAAATTATTGTCGTTGCACTTCTACTGTTCTGTTCTTTTTTTACTCAAGTAAAACTATGATTGAGTTGAGTTTGAACATCAGATGCACGATGTAAAAGAAGAGTGGAACAAATTTTGGTCTTTCACTGAAATTAGAAGATTAGTTTAAAGAGCTAAGTGTAATTTTTAAGACGATCCATCACCAAACCAAAAAGATAAATAAGATTCATCCTGAAAAGTACTTTACCTTCCACTCAAATTAACTTTTTTTACAGTGCAGAGGAGTTTGGACAAAACATGCAATTTGTATCCTTGTGTGCTCACAGATTTTTACTCTCTGGTTCAAGAAGAAATGAGCGAGACGGAGATCTTTCAGACAGTCTGCAGTAATGAGCAGAAATCCAAAGGCGTCCAGCACAGGAACCGCACCTCCTTCACCCCAGAGCAGACCAGAGCACTCGAGCAAGGTAACCTTACAGCCCGTGTATGTTCCCAAAGCAGAATTTAAACAGAAAAGTAGCTAAACCGATATTTCTGCCTCCAAAATCAGAATTCTCTCACAGCCAGTACGCTGACATGTACACAAGAGAGAAGCTGTCTGCTGAAATTAAACTTCCCGAGGACACCATCAAGGTAGATTTGTCTTGTTTTTATCATCAAAGTGCTCACACAGATTTCACCTTTTTTTTTGTTCTTGAGACGTGTTTTCTGTCTCTCAAAGGTGTGGTTTTCAAACAGACGGGCTAAATGCAGGAGGGAGGCCAAGCAGAAAAGTAACGCACCGAGTAAGTGGGTGAAGGTTGTTGGTGTTCACTTTGTGGGAATAAAAAAAGCAAGCCATGGTTTGGGTGACTTAAGGTTGTAGCATCTTCTGAAGTGAAGGAAGCACAATTAGAGTTGCACGCCAAGTATATGCACGGATTAGAATATGCATAATAACTGGGATTCAGCCATAACAAGCGGAGCTGAACTGAATAGTCATTGACGTGTCCAGCTGTTCCTCACAACTATCTGACAAAATGTATTTCTCCTCAGCAGCTGCAGACTTTCAACAGCAGAGAGATTTTGTTCCTGTGAATCCTGCAGCGCTGCACGGCTTCACGTCTCAACAGGTACAGCATCAGTCATGTGACATAAGCTTTAAAGCCTTTACGAAGTATAATAAAATCATCACATTCTGCTGAAGTCAGAACTGTTTGTGATTTCTGTCCATTTAGCAACATTTAAATCAAAATCTGGTGACAATCAGCAGGTTTATTTCTCTCTCTTGAACAAATGTGATCAAACTGCACCTTCACAGTTTAACTTAAGCTTTTGGCCTCTCACATGTGACGGAAACATACGTGTAGTTATATTTACATTGTGTTGATTTGAAGGTGACAGGAGCGTCAAGAGTCGACTGTGAAAACGTCTCTTTGTACAACGCAGTGACCAGGAGGCTGCAAACTGGCTGCTTCCTCCCAACAGAAACAGGTAAAGCTCATTTTGATCAGAAAAATGGTTAAAATAGCAGTTTATCCACATTGAAGGGGATAGTTTATGTTATAAATCTAAGTGAAGCTGCATCATACACAACCATGTTCTCAACAAGCTGCTAAAACCTGTTTCAGGCAATCCAACTTTTTTGTTCACGCATTTATTCAAAGTTTCAAACAACAAGGAAATAACTGTTTGTTTTGGTTTTGATAACTATCTTTCATGTATATTTTTGTCTGCGCTTATCATGGTAATATCTAAAACCTTCTCATTACTGTGTCAGATTTCTTTTCCTGTAGCAACATTTCTTTCCTGCTCCGGCTTTGATTGTGTTTTGCTTCCATTTATAGTTTCTGTAATTGCATCCCTATTTCTGTACACTGTGATAAATTACTGCAAAAATACAGCCAAATTCTAACGCTAGTGTTCTGTTTTGATGAATTATGGTGAAATAGTGTAACATAACAAAAGAACAATGACAGCAGGTTGTTGTAAATACTTACAGTCAACAAGCACTTCTTAGA